AGTGGCTTCAAGCTGCACTATTTCTGCAGTCTGTAAAGGCCCTAAGTTTCACCCCACGCCCACCATCTCTTAAAGCATTTTAAAGGGAAGCAGATGAATGCCATGCCAAAAGGTAGGTGTTTGAGAAGCAATGGTGTTACCTCCCCTTTAGGGGGTCACCTGGCGCAGTTCGCACCCCCCCCCAGTGATGCCACAGCCCGCAACCCACTTCTCCCTCTCCTTTTTTTCCAGGACATGTCCTACATTTCAGCCTTCTGTTCAGGAGGAATTCCAAAAGGTCCTCCATTTTTGAACAGGACTAAGAAGTATGGATTTACATCAATATGAGTGTTCAGGGGTAGGCAACCTTTCCCCTTTAAGGGCCGAGGGACTTCAACTCCCAGAATCCCAGGAGCTATTGGCCAACATGGGACTATTAGCCAACATGGCTGAGGCTTCTGGGAGCTGAAGTCCCTCGGCCCTTAAAGGGGAAAGGTTGCCTACCCCAAAGCTTCTATTTGGCATCATGGCCAATCGTTTTTCTTGAAAGTCCTACATTTTGCTGGCCTTCTCCTCCTTTTAGGGTTATGACATCTGGTCGCCCTGCTCTCTCCTGCTTTCCCTTTTTGGAAGAAAGGGAGGAGAAACCAATAAGGTTTATGTGCCTTCATGTTGCCCCTCGACTTATGGTGACATGGTTCATCGGGTTTGCTGCATCTCTAGTTGTTGTTGTGCCTTCAGGTGATTTCTGACTTATGGTGATCCGAAGGCAAACCTATTATGGGGTTTTCTTGGGAATATTTGTTCAAGGAGGTTTGCCATTGCCTTCCCTGAGGCTGAGAGAGTGTGGCTCACCCAAGATCCTGTTCTCCAGAGTCATAGTCCAACACTCAAACCATGACATGACACTGGCTCTTAATAGCAATAATAGCAATAGTTTAGAAATGATAGGTTTTAGCCAGTGGATAAGGAAAGCTATAGGAATGCGGATCAGAAGATCAGCAGATCAACAGGTTGGCAGTTCAAGGCCCAAGTGCCTCATGATGGGGTGAGCTCTTGTCACTAGTCCCAGCTTCTGCCAACCTAACAGTTCGAAAGCATGAAAATGCAAGTAGATAAATAGGTACCACTTCGGTGGGAAGGTAACAGCATTTGATGCAGTCATGCTGGCCCCATGATCACAGAGTAGTCTCTGACAACGCTGGTTCTTTAGCTTAGTAACTGAGACGAGCCTTTACTAGACAATGTCGCAACTAAACATTCATGTCAAGGGGAAACCTTTACCTTTACCTTTAAGGAAAGTTATAAAAGATCCAATTCTACAGCCAACG